CGATATGCCGGACGATCTCTATCGAAAAAACGTTGACCGAACAGACGAGATGTTCATTTTGTTTAATTGTAATTTTAATAATTAGAGTTTTAGGTACGATTTAAATAATTTTTCATTGGATTTAGATTTAAGTAGAGATTTGGTTTGTATATTTGGATTTAGGTATGTATTAGGCCAAGTATTTATTCGTAAAAAAAAAAAAAGAAAACATATAATAATGATTAATTATCGAAATATTTATTATATCGGTGATAAATAACGAAATACATAATTTATTGACTTATTGTTGGTTTATTAACAAAAATTTAAATTGTTTTCTGCTGAATGCAGAAGGAGATAAATTTGGATATAGAAAAACAGTAAACGATTCTTATTTGCATTCTTATTGCGCAAAATTTATAAAATCGTTTTTTTTTAACGGTTATTTATAGTATTTGGTTAACTGTCTTTAAAAATTTAAGATACATAAATACGTAAATACGAGCAATTTTTCTATTCCATTCATATAACGTATTTTTCTCTCTCGCTTCGTGCAATCCAATAAAGCAAGTGAAATCGAGAAACAAGTCAATAATTCTCTGCCACGATGCGATATTATTGCATCACTGTCTCCTGTGAAATTTTCGTTCTGAATAAAAGCAGAAAAGCAGAGTCGACCTGTTACTATTACTTTTTTTTTAAAAAGAATTTAAAATTTTTCTCATTTAACGATTTAAAAGAGATTAAAATAAGTAACAAATTTTTATCGAACATAACAATATTTCTGCCAACAAAATTCTTCTTATTTAATCGATGAATTCAATTCAAAATTTCAACTTCTTCGTATGTACAATACAGAATTAATAAATATTCTCGAATCTTTCTTATACCACCACATTTTTCTCACATATTTCATTTCAACAAGTAAGTAGTATCAAAACGTACAAATTCCATTTATCCCTGTAAACCCTTTACAATAAAAACAGTAGAAATCCCATCCTGCACAAACTCTCTCCTCTTCCAATGACAAGAATAACATCATTTCACGAAGCCTCGGTTCCGCAATCCGACTTATTATTTTACCCGTTCACCGACAATTTGCCCCAACGATCAAGGGTGGAGGGGGAAGGAGGAGAGAGGAGGAGGAGGGGGGCGGTCGACTGTCGTGGAACGAACGTCCACCGGAAGGAGAAGAAAATTTACTCGGGCAAATCGTGGAAAAGTGTTTACCGGAAGAACGATTGGGTTCTTGGAAACAAGGGTAAACCACCCTCCGCGCGTTTATTGTTCGACGGTTTATCGATTTGTCGCCACTGGCCCTTCCCATTATATCTCGTAAACTTGACGTACAAACGGCCATTCTCTCCGTTAACCAAAGGATGTGCCACCCTCTCGATCCGTGAAAATATCCGTGATACACGACGCCATTGCGAATCGAGAAAGGAATTATTCCAGTCTTTGATTTCTTTGACGTATCACGTTTACACGATTCGTGTAGACTTGCGTATAATACGAGTTTTTAGTATAATGGGCTGAAGATTTAACGGGCTTCACACGAAAATGTTTTGTTATCTTAATATAGGAAAATATATGAAGCAAAACTTGACGTGGTTATTTATGTTATATGGCGTGTTATATGTATATTTGGTGTAAATAGGATAATCTGAAATTTTGTGAAGAAATTTAATTATTTCTTCACAGTTGAAATTTTAGACACTCTTTGACGATTTGTGTGATGACGATTGACGGTGTAATACGTATGATAATGAGATGGTAATGAGATCTAATAGCGATGAGTAAGAAAGGTGAATTTTTTTTAAAATATATACGTATAAGTGTGTAATGATATTATAGAAGACATATAATAACATGTACGAAGCCGAATATAACAACAAATATAACGTTCCTCTAATTGTTCTAATACGCAAATATATGTATAATATTATTATCTGTTATAGAATATAAACATAATACATCGGATTATTATTGTGTAATTAATTATAAGTTATAGAAAATGTAAGAATTAAAAAAATTATGGAAGGAACAATCAAACTTTTATTGAAGGAATGAAAAGTTTTTTTAAAAGTGAAAAATATTTGAATTATTTATGGATAATAATTAATTATGAATTTTTCTATTGCAATTTTATTAAAATCATTTTCGTTTTTATATATCAAAAAATTTAAAAAGTAGAGCATTATTTATCTGAGAATATATATTTAAATTATTTACAATTTTATATATACTCTTTATTATATTATTAATTTATTATAAATATATATAATATTATGTATTGCATACATTCAAGTTATCTAGCATTTAATTATGTTTATATTCTGAAACACGATATATTAAAAACGATTAATTTATAATACTTTTCTATTGTTGATAATTTTACTATAATAAATATCTATATTTGAAAATAATAATAATTTCAAATTGTTTTCCAAAACAAATTTGTTCTCCAATTGATTCGAATAATTCTAATAATTTATTATTATTCAATCAATAATTAAAATGATCGAAATCTGATGAAAAAATATAATAAATATAATTTAATTAGTCCCATTTAACAATCACGAAACAATATACACAATCTCGAGGAGCAAAACTGATCGAGCAATTAACTCGAAAAATAGTTAACCAACTATAAACTTCCATCTCGCTGACAAGGCAAAACAAAAAACAAGCAGCCATGAAATACGACGTCACGGTTTGGTTCGGACGTACGAGGTCAAGATTTCTCATTCATCTTCGACCATTCGTCTTCCTGAACGACCACGTGTTCTCACATTTCATTATCAATTTCGATTCGACTATCTGCAACGCTTTCGATGAACGAGAAAGAATTGAAACGAACGATTGTATTGGAGAATACAGGTGTTTGGTATAGGATAGGATACAAAATAAAATTCTATTTTGCCTATTCCTAAACGAGAGAATTCTTCTCTAGCGACGTGTAAATTGTTCAAATTTGAATCAAGAAAATTTTTAAAATGTCGAAAATCATTTAAAAACTGTTATTTTTGTTGATTGTTTGTAAATTTTTATCGAACAATATTTTTCCTTTTAACATGTTATATTTCTTTCTGTGTAAAATAATTTTGGTTTTAGATAATTTAGATTTAGAATTATTTAGATTTCACAAGTATTTGTTTATTTATAAATATCATATTTTACATATTTATTTTAAAATTAGTAATAAATTTTGCGATAAAAAGAAAAATGAGAATTAGAAAATTAAAAAGTTTATGATACATAAAATGTTATTTTTTTGGAAATTATTATTTTGCATATAAAATTTGAAAGATTAAGAAAACAAATATTTTTCACTATTAAAATTTTGATATTTTCATTCCACATTAATGTAGAAAATATAGATAAATCCATCGTTTCGATTCATTCATTTATCTTAGAATTTTTTAGAAAAGAAACACGAAGTAATTAAATTATTATAAATAAATCTTTTTTTAACATATAGAATAATCCTTTGAAAATATTATTCCGGGAATAAATTATTCATTTTCGTTGTAGTAAACGATTAGTAAGTGAATCAGCAGCTGATAGAATAAATAATTTATGAAAAATTAACAGTATTAAAATTAAATTTAAATAAAATAACAATTTATTACCAATTCATAGAATATGATGAATGCGATAATAATTTTCTCTCATATTTTATTTTTCTAACAATTTTTCCAATAGAAAAGCAATAAAGATAGAAGAAAAATGAATAATCGATTTTTGATAATTGCAACAAAAATTAAAAAATTATCCTCCAATTATTCAAAAATTCTTCAAATCGTTACCGATTGTTCGTTAAATAGGTCATTTATCCTAGGTCACGGTACAATTGCATACAATACAAATTGACGAAACGATTTTCAATCAACGATTACCATAGATGCGATTTACAATCATTACGGACGTTGATTCGTGCCGATTATCGTAGATTTTGATTTTCGATAGGACACGCGTCGATAGAATTAAACGGCGAAATTAACGCTGCGGAGGTGCAATTTTAATATCATTCGACAGGTGTTGACAATGTATTTCAAATAGAAACGGGTGTTTGCACGTTTCCATGTTATTTGAACGCGTTATATTATGTTAAACCGACACGGAGATATGGTGATTCATTTTTCATTATTGGGAGGAAAGAGCATCGCAAGCAGGGAACAACATTTGGCAATTTGATTGTTATCAATCACTGTTTTCGATTCAACGTGGTTAACGTTTTTATGCGATAGCTCTTGAAATAGATTGAACGTTCGAATATTGTTTTTTTTTTTCATTTTCAAAAGGTAAACGTTATATTTAAATAAGAGGAAATCTATATTTAACAATTTTTTGCAGGCATACAGATTGCTTATAAATTCTGTATTGAATTTTCCATGTATGTGTTTATAGGAAAATATCATTTAAATAATGTTTTATATCGTTCGTAATGCATTTTTGTTGTAAAACAATTATTTCGATAGTGCACAGCAATTTATAACAATTTATTTAATGAAAGAAACAATAGATATATCCCTTTTTATATTTTTAATATTTTTATGCACATAAAAACTTTACATTTTAACATATTAATCTAAAAATAAATTACGGGTATCAATTTTCAAAGAAGTCTTATTTTAATCATAAAGATATAAAATATTTGATATTATTATGGTCTAAATAAGTTTTCAGTTTATTATTCCTAGTTATAGTTCGTAAAAAAATAATAATTCAAGATGTAGAATAATTTCTATGTCTGTATATTTACGAATACATTACGTATTCTATCAAAATATCTAAAATATTTATATATTTTACCATAATCCATAATAGTTTAATTTAATTACACTTCGTATTATTAATATATTATACGAATGAACGTTCGAATTTACCGCCTGGTCTAAAGTTAACAGTAAAGCTGGAACATTATTGGCTAGCCAATGGCGTGTCGCTATTACTAATAGTTTTCATTCACGCCACAAGGCGCCGCTAACGTTGCACAGCGAACACGCAGCAGCGGCGCGCACAGCGCCGCGCATCGACGGAATAGAGCGAGACCGGACGTGAGAGAGAACGAGGCAGACTCGTTCGCGTTCCGCCGAGGTGGTGCAGTTTTCCAGTGTCGCGTAGAGTGTAGTGTTTTTCTTCCTTCCCCCGTTTCCGAGCATCGAGTGTTGTGTGCGTCACGGTGAGGCAAAGCAGACCTATCCCCCATGATTAAGGAGTGCATTTAGGTAATTAAGAAATTTCTCATACGGCCGCGCCCCATTAAAATGCGATCCTCGTCCCTTCGGGACGCCTCGCAACGAGGAGCGACTACGGTGCGCCACCATAGCGCACACGCCGTGCCGGTGTTATTACCGTCGGTTCGTCTCTTCGAAATTATTCCGAGAATTACGTGCTAGACGCCCTCGTGAAGAGTGTTTTCGTGAATAACCACGCGAACGTTATCTGGTAGATCGTGTGTGTAGCGAAATCGTACGCAAGGTGTGCACGGAAGTAAAAAAGCACGGTGCCGCCGGGAGGGAGACAATTTGCAGCGTGGTGTGACGCCGCGTCAATGTCGATTCGTGTTGTTCGTAAACGGTCGATCGGAGAGCAAACGGAGCCCGAATACATGACTCTCTCCCTTGCCCTTCGTGGTGCGCGCGGGCAACGTGTGCTACGTAGATACAAAAATAATGGTGCGCTCTCTACGACTATTTTATCGTCGAACGGTCGCGAAACAGTGGCAGTGAAACAGTGTTTTCGTACGATTAACGCGTGTATCTCGCTTGTTGTATCTCTTCTTGTTATTTTGACTACGGTAAAATATATACGCGAAATGTAAAGATGAACGGCATGAAAGATAGGAAGTTGGTACTGGCAAATCGAACGATCGGTTCTTTTCCTCCCCTCCCTACTCCTGATATTAACGAAAGAGGGAGAGAAGGAGAGATATAAAGCGAGATACGTAGAGAATGAATGACTGTGTGCGAGCGTGTAAGAGAGACAGACACTTCTAGGCTTGCGATTGGTTTTCTCTCGTGACTGTACCGCTTCTGGTCGTCGACTTGTATCTGCGTACCTTTTTCCACGCACACGATGCGCGCCACATATACATGGTGTTCGTTGAATTATAATATAATCGACAATCAGATGATTTTTTACAAAAAAATATTTGGAAATATATAGAATACAATTTTTTTAGAATACAAAATCGTTTGCATAATTTCGGAGAAAAATGATATTGAATGTGAAAGTATCTCCGGCTGATTGTAATCTATATTTATATTATATAAAATAAAAATTTAAACTTCGTAAATAATATAAGTAAATTAGATGATGAATAATAAGTGTAAAATAACTTTGAAATTATCTTTATCTTCCATCTACTTTATATTATATTTGTTTTTTCTATAAAAAAATTACATTTATCACGCAAAGATATCTCTACTGAAAATATTAAAAAATTAGATTATCGATATATTTTCATAAATTTGATATCTATGGACTTCTATTTGTAAGTTACAGATTACTATAATTGTTTATATGAAAAATATAATATGTATCGAATATTTTTAAAAAATTTAAAAATATAAAGTATGATATATTAATTCATGTAAATTATTTTTTTTGTATTATTTTATAAAATGGATTATCAAAATTATATTTTAAACATATCTAATATAATTTATATCATAATCATATGATACTTAAAGTTACTTTCAAAAAGTAGAAAAACGAAAATATTTATTCTATATTTTCTATTATTTTTTTTAGATCATCTCTTTATCGATAAACTACGATTATCGGACACCCTCTATATCACCGCGTGTTGTCTCTCCGAAACAATACTGCTTTTTGCTCCACGCTTTTGATCCTGAAAGTGAAGGATACCACTAATATCTATAGATATATTTAAACGTATTCTTCCAATAGATAATTTAACTACTATCTATTTGTATTTTTATATTAGGACTTAAACATGTTTTTATCTAACGCTTAATTGAATTTTTCATTTTAATTATATATCGCGTTTATTTATACATTTTCTATATTTACTTTTTAATTAATCATATTTAATTTTTGTGCGCGGTAAAAAAAATATGAAAGTTCACGAAAGAAATATCACGTACGAATGTGTAATATAAAATCATAATAAGCTATATTTTTTGTAGATTATGGTTTATCTTCCAAGTTTATAGTGCACAAATAAATAGTTCAACGGAAAACTATCACGGCATAAAACTCGTTGGGCGTTGCATTTATGGAAAAGCCGGTTCGTGCGTTATATAAAGACTCCTAGTTCATTTGTAGCGCGAATGAACTATTAGTGAAAGAGAGAATTTTTCACTCGAATCAATGATAAACTGGCGGGAGGTCCGTTTCTTTTCATTTCGTCTCAAAATATTCGAACTGTTCAACGTGAATCATGTTCTCGATTGAATTTTATAAACAATCAAAAATTTTTCATCGATTATCGTATTTGACATAAGAATATAAAAATATTAATTTTAAATTTAAAAAGCTTCCAATTAGAAAAATAAACTTCCGAAATAATAAACGTTTAGTGTGATTGTGTAACGTAATCACAAAGTAACTGAAACCAATTCACAGAATGATTAAGATTAAATTTGAATTAAATTTTAGATTTTGATAATTATATTAGTTTAGCTTCCGATTATAAAAATATTCTTAAATTCAAAACCACAATTGGATCATTATTTGTTAAATTTGAAAAGGAAAGGATAACATGTCGCATGCTTCAAGTCTCGCATATTTAATTTTATAACCGCCATCATCGTTTTCAAACAGACTCGCGTAGTGGGGGACAGACGCGTAGATTGACGAATCGTGACGATTCCGCGCACCGGATCCGTACGAATTATGGATAGATAGTGTGATTGCTCGAAATTAGACGTGGTGAATCGTCCGTGAACATTACGCAATGTCTGGTGCAACGACCTGCGCGTGTTACATTGGAAAAACGACGCTTTTACGAGTAAAGCGGGAAGAGCTAGGCAAGAATCGCGCGTTCGTTAATATTGAAACTATTACCATATCTATTAATTTGACGAAAAAATCAGTGAATGTGTGCTCTACGTTTAATTTGTTTAAAATAAAAATTATAATCTAATTAAATTTAATCCAATCCATTTATTTTTAAAAATAAATTCGATATCGCGATAATATCACGATCGAAAGAAACGCGGAGTGTTGCATATTCTTCATAAATATAAATCAAAATCAATAATTTTTCTAATTCTTTAATTAAAAAGTAGCAAAAACTTTTCTGAATATGTAATATAGGCTATATATTGTGAAATTATTATTATATATATCTATTATTTTGATATACATACTTAGATACATGTTGAATATATTAATAGTAATATGTAACTTTTATATCTAAAACAATATGACTATTGTTGATAAGGAGAAAAGTCTGAAAATCGTCATTTTGACAGATTTAATAATATTAGTGTTACGTTACACACACGTGTACATATAACGGAACGCAGATTGCACTAAATTCCACAGTCCAATTGCATTGCGGACAGCAGCAGAGCGAAACGGTCACAGTCGCCCAGTGTATAGACGCGTGGCCGATTAGAAAGACAGTGAAGGCTAAATATAGTGCGTTCGCGTTAACAGATCTTTTCAATTTGTGATTCAGATATATCGTGTTCTGCGATGCATCGGCATCGTTGTTGCGGTGGTAATTAGCGATGTATCTCGAATTTTTAGGGTCGACGATACCGTCGTGGCTTCTATGATTCCGGTAGGCATCACGATCCGTCGGATGAAAGTTGGATATATTTTCGATCAATCGAAATTTCATTTTGAAACGATTGACGGGTCGGTGAAATACGAAACACGGTATTTATGACGAGAGTCGAGCGAAACGGTTTGTCTCGTCATGGATTATTTAAATTTGTATTATAAATGTCTACTTATTTAATTTTTAGTTCCGCCATTTATTTTTTTTGAATAGTCTAGTTTTTTTTTTTGTCTCTTGTTAATTATGATTATTGGATTATTTGTAAAAATGTGTAAAAAAATTAAATGTGCAGAGAGGAAATATAGAGAACGTATATAAAAATGCAAAAATATACAATAAAATGAATGAAATTATTAAATATAATGAATAATACAAATATGATAATGGATAATAATTATAAACTATATATACTCGCGATTATTCTCACGTACACAAGTGAATGAAAAAATAGATGATATTTGTTACTTTATTTATTCATAATAAATCTCTTCACTTGAAATTTAAAGGTTATTAGTGAGCAGTTAGTTTTAAATATAAATATTTGATTCATATCATAGATTTTGAATTTATTTAAAATTTTAATTAAAAGTAATTTAAATATTATTTTCGATTAAACATCGTATAATATATATCTTATCAACTTTAATCAATATGTCGTTGTTGATGATTGATAAGAATCGTATAATCTATTCTATTGATCTATCTGAAGTTCGTTTATGCAAACTGTAATTAGGACTTAAACGAGCAAAAATACGCATCTTCGATTCACATTATTTGTTTTTATCAACATTGTGGCGCCAGTGCCATCTATCAACGACACAGAAAATTCAGTAAATTAAAAAAATCGTAGCGTTTTATATATCAATACTATTATATTGTTCATATTTGTTCGAATCACTTAAAATTTTGTTTCGTTGGTCAATCATTGATCATTATTGGAATTAAACAATGAATATATAATGAATATCACGTAAAATTAATATATTATTATAACAATTTACAATTACTATTGTTAAAAATACATTAAATATTTGAAAGTTATATATAAAAACTATTAACCCATATAAATTTTAATATTTAAAATAATCGTAATTATGAAACATATATTTTCCTTTAATGCGTGAATATAATGCATTAATAATTTTTTTTTTTAATAAATATACTTCATTGTTTATTTTAAAAATATGAAAATGATTTATATTTGCATTTGATGTGTGAAATTTTATTGGAGATATAAATACAATATAAAGAAAACAATTTTTTTATCTTCATATATTCAATGTTTTATAAACTTTATAAAGAACGCAATTTTGCAATAATTACTCGATTACACTTTTTATATAAATAACGTTTAATAAACGTCACAAGCATTTATAAATTTTATTAAAAATTTTGAAATTTTAAACAACAACCATCGATAAAAAACTTTCAGAATCATAATATTTATTCTCTTGAACTAAATTGTTTTTT